AGCATTCAATGGGATCTACATGTTATGTCTTGATAGCCATTCATTTAGCATTTTCTGAAGCTTCCCAGGTTTCAATTATTCAAAAGTGTCCTTTTCGTTCCTGTGATGGATAAGGCAATTGATCTCTGAAGTACAAGCTAATGTTAGTGTGGTTGCACTTGTCTGTCTTTTTTTCTTCTGCAAGTTTCATGGTCTGGTTTTGAGGAAGTTGGTTTTCCTTTTCTACAAGGGATATCTTTTGAAAAAGATTACCATGCCTGTGACAGGTCATTTGTTGAACATTCTTATTTTTTACTGAATAATTTTGTTGCTTTTTGATTTTGTATTATCAAATTTGCATTCAATTTTCTGATGCAATTGCCGTCAGTGTGAGTATTTGATCAGTCTTTTCTTGAGTGGTTTTCCATTTAAGGAGGCTAGGCATATTCTAAGCAGCTTTTAGTTTCTTGTCTGACATAAATTCCTGGAAACTTGTTCCAGAATCAATTCTTCATCTCAGGTCTTTCTGGAGACGAGATCATACGGAATCGTGTACTGGAAGCATTATACCAACGCATTATGCGAGCTTACAAGGAAAAGAAGTGTTTCAGAGTTATAATTGTCATACCACTTCTTCCAGGCTTCCAGGTACTATGCTTGGTTGTGTTCCCCTTGTCCAATATGAGTAATTTTTCTTTATTTATTTATTTTTTTCACTCTATATACTTTGGCAGGGTGGTGTGGATGATGGTGGCGCAGCATCTGTGAGAGCAATTATGCATTGGCAGTATCGAACAATATGCAGAGGACGTAATTCGATATTGGACAATCTTTATGATCACATCGGACCTCGAGTGCATGACTATATATCTTTCTATGGTCTTAGAGCTCATGGTAGACTTTTTGAAGGTGGTCCTGTGGCCTCCAGTCAGGTGACTGTGCAATTTCTTTTTTCAAGTTTTGTGTATTAAGAAGTCTCTTGCAAGCATCTGATTGCTAATTCTATGACCTTCTGATTGTTTAGTTGTTGATGGTATTTATGTGTAAATTTGACTCGTTTACGCACTTTACCGTTTAGGTGAGTGAACTGTCCATTTGTTAGTTATTAGACAGGCAGGACCTATCTTTAGTTGATTATTTAATAAGGATATGTTAGTTCGTTATTTGGTATACATTATATCTAAGTGTAGAAGTTTGCAAGTTGCATATTTGAAATTGGAAGAAATGCTAAGGTAGTCCCTTGTTATTTTTATTTAAGATTTTTACGCTAAAATATTATTTAATTTTGGTAACTTTGCATTGCTTTAACTGTACCCCTTGCAGCCGCAAAGACAACTCTCTTATTTATTTATTTATTGCTATCTGTCCCTTTATTTTCTTTTTTTTTAACTCTTTTTTTTAAACCCTGTACATTTTCACCTCCTTTCTCTTCCACACCTTGGCTCCTGTCCACCTTTCTGGGGTTGCCCCTATCTTCATTCTATCTTGATGCAGAGCCACTTTTATTCTTCCGAGCAGAATTATGCACGGTAGAAAACAGCAGCCCGTACTCAAATGAGTTGTTTGTTTGATTGATACTACACGTAGTAGTTACAGCTCATGAAGCCATGGAACTGCTTAGTATCTAAGAAGATGAAATTCATGGAAACATGTAATAGTCTGATGGTTACAGCACTTAAAAATAAATTTGTTGAATGTTTGGATAATTGCATTTCATTTCCACTACACTTGACTTGCAAAAGCAAATCAAGGGGATAAGAATTCACTGTTTCTATTCACTACAAGGTTCTCTTTTCTGCTTCTACAACATAAAATTGATGATGCTATTGGTGATTTTTTCATTTCTCTAGGTGTATGTACATAGCAAGATCATGATAGTTGACGATTGTATAACTCTAGTTGGATCTGCTAATATCAATGATAGAAGTTTGCTTGGCTCAAGGGACTCTGAGGTATATATTTTATTCCTTTTCTTTATCTGTGGATTTTTTATACAGATTTAGTTGAATGTTCGGGGTGGTTTACATTACTCTCTTATTCTATATCCATTCTCTTCAGTCTTTACTCATGGGTTCTTACTTGAGTTTGTTCCTTGTAGATTACAGGTGGTAAATTGCATCTTTATACCTCTGTAAAGGACTTGTACCTTGCTTATTCTGGTCACCAGGCATCACTGTATAATCATTTAAGCAGAGTGATTGATGTCAGCTGCTTCGTCTATTTTATTCAAAGAATAATGGAAAGCACATACTTTTCCTTTAGCTTTGTTAGAAAAGGAAGAATACTTCTTCTCTGAGTCAAATTTTTCTTGGTCTTCCTCTAGCAAGCATAAGTTCCTGAGCTTCTTAGCCATTTCTTAGCATCCCAATAATTATTATTTTTCACGTCGTTCAGCCCATTCTTTTTGTTCTTTATGCATAGAAGTTTGTTTGGTAAGCTATGCAAGCTTTGTCTCCTAGCTGATAAAATGCACATCTAAATACATCTTGGTATGGGTGTTGACTTGTATGTCATATTGCAGTACTCTGAACCTCAAAAAATTTGTTGAATCTTACTTCCACTTCATTACATAATTTGGGATTGCTTATCACTAGGAATTTGGTTCTGGTTCGCATTTTAAATTATGCCCCTGGTTGCTGACCAGCCATGTTACTTATGTTGTTTCAGATTGGTGTACTAGTTGAGGACAAAGAACTGTTTGATTCATTAATGGGAGGCAAGCCATGGAAGGCTGGGAAGTTTGCATCGAGCTTGCGGCTTTCTCTATGGTCTGAGCACCTTGGTCTTAGAGCTGGAGAGGTCAGTTTCCATCACCCTTTTGATACCGTGTGATAGTCATGTCTCTCGAAATCATTTCTTCTATGGAACTCCTTTTTTTCTTTTTTCTTTCCCCATTCTTTCTAGGAGGGGTATGCATAGCCAATTTATGTGTCATTCACAGAAAAGCAAGTAGAAAAGGACTAGGTAGAATTAATAGATGAAAGATTTCTAACCTCTGGCCTCTGCATCTGTCTTTCATCTTTTTCTGAGATGTGAGATTTGGGTGATAATTGGTTATCCTCTTTTAGGTCCATCAAATAAGAGATCCGGTGATTGATTCTACATATAAGGGAATATGGATGGCAACTGCCAAGGTAAAATGCCATTTTCAAGTACGTCGTCAATGAAATGTTTGCTCATCTTTGTCAGGATATGGTTGTTGCCCATTACTTCTATCTTGATTCTCAGTGTATAATTTTCTGTCTGCAATAATAAAGATGGGAGTTAAACTCCAGAGTATGATTTGATGGAAGAGTCATTTTTGTTACTTGAGCCAACAAGTTTGTAATCTTCTCGAATGTAAAAGAAAGAATTCACAATGAGTAAATCTTATATGCATTGACATCGTATACACTATCACGGTTGGATGTACGACACATGCAAAATTTGGGTTTCAAATTCAAATTCGGATTATGTGTCATGCATTTAATGGTGAAAGTGTATACACGGTCAGTGTATAGAAGATTAATCCATTCACAATGAGTAAATCTTATATACTGGCTTTTATTTACCTCCAACTAACTTCTCAATGTAATGAGTAAACTAACTTCTCACAATGAGTAAACTCATATGTGCTATGAGTTAGGGTTTGTAACACTGGCTTTTATTTACCTCCAACTAACTTCTCTGTGTAATGTGATTTTGCCAGACAAATACCATGATCTACCAAGATGTTTTTTCTTGTATACCCAATGATCTAATCCATTCCAGGTGCGTTCCTTCTTTCAAAGATTTGTTTTTCTTTTTGTTGTTGATTGTATAAAAATCTGTGTAAGCTTGCAGGGCTTCTCTCCGTCAATGCATGGTCTACTGGAAAGAAAAACTTGGCCAGGCAACCATTGATTTAGGAATAGCCCCAAATAAGCTCGAGTCTTATCAAGATGGGGATATTAAATGCACTGATCCCTTGGAGAGGTTAGAATCTGTTAGGGGGCATCTTGTTTCTTTCCCTTTGGATTTCATGTCCAAAGAAGATTTAAGACCTGTGTTCAATGAAAGCGAGTACTATGCATCATCTCAAGTTTTTCACTGAGCATCATCTTTATTAACTACGGCTTGTATATAGCTGAAAATTATCTTCCACGTGTCTTTAAGTATGGTGAGACATGCACCTCAGGCGGAGAGTACACACACAGAGGGAGCCCCCCAACCAGAGAGAGAGAGAGATGGAAAGGGGTGGTGGTTGACCAGAAACTTCAGTTCGAAGCAAGAAAATACAGCAAGAAAATGGAAGTTATATATAGGCGCTCTTTAGCGGGGCTCTTAATGTTCGAGGAAGTGGAAGTTATATACAAGTTTCTCTGCTTAATGTTTCTACATGTATATGAATGAAATTAAAGTTTCATGATTCACTCTGGTGTTCCTCAAGGCATTAGTCCATTGTTGACACCTGAACTATCATATCTGGTGGTCTACTTTGACAATAAGCGCCGGAGTTTGCCAGTTGCGGGAAGCACTTTCATTAAGATTTGCAGTTCTGTTCATAGAGGAGGATGAGGATCCAGTGACAGAGAAATGATTGTTTACCATCTCAACCGATAATATTCAGCACGATATCAGCAGGCACCGAAGATTTCTAAAGTCTTCATGGGGGTGATATTTTATGTACTTGAAAGATTCACAAAAATTTGTGCACAAGACTTCTCTGCAATATAGATTATAGAGCAATATGGTTCAACCAACCTCCCCTCACCCCTAAAAAAATAAAAACCGAAAAAAGGAACATTTCGGATAGACATTGATGAATTTTTTTTTTTTTTTTTTTGTATGGTTCCTGACACATTGATAACTTGTTGGCCATGTATCTCAAATTAACTTTTACATAAATTAGTTCCTATAAATGATGAACGTATATGTTCAGCAACGTCATGTTTCCCTTGGTCTATGACGCCTGGGCGGTGGAGAGTCTGGGCTACGTATGGTTAGTTTAGAAAGTGCCTTCAGATGCTCAGACCAACAATCCGCTTTCTAGTTGTCTCCTGCCCCTGTTCAACTCATTTCGAATTTCTCTGTTTGTGGTAGTCTCGCCTCCACTTTTGACATGTGGAAGAAAAGATGTATCGTCTACTGAAAAATGATGGAGCACATTGGACCTTAAAGGGAGTGAGTATAAGATTGATTAAAAATCAGCAATTCAAACGGGCCCACGAGGGAAAAATCAGAATCCAAGTGGCCGAATCGATAACTAAATTGGTCCAAAATATTCCCGGCCTTTTTAATTTTGGAAACCGAGGGAACATTTTTTAACCTTCATCTGGAGGTAGCTTCTGAAACCCCAAACTAATCATAAAATTGTCTTTTGTCTTTTGGAAATCCATGCCTTGATTTACTTAGTTGACATTGATCATGTAAATTGCTCTCAAACTTCGGATATTTTTATCTTAATTTCTGGTTTACGATCAACAATACCTCAGTGAAACTCTTATAGCTCCGCCTGTTTGTAGAATTGCTTCAATGGCAACATCTGCTGTAAGTTTTGGTGCGTTGGTGACTCTTGAGGAACTAGTTCCCTCCTCCTCACAATTCACGCAAGGAGCATCGCTTCGAGTTACTGGAAAGTAGGTGTTTACGTGTTGCTCCTTGTTGCAAATGCTTCTTGAATTTTGTCTATTTCGATTTGTGAAACATATAGAGAAAAAGTTAATAAGAAGGGGAGAAAGCAGGCCACTTCTCAACTCGAAAGTATGGTAGTGGGTTTTTCTGATAGGCCCTTCATCGGCTCATGTCATGGTGTCTTTGCACACTTGTTAGTGATAATGTTGCTTCTTGCATTTCTTGCTTTTCAATCAGAAGTTTATTTATTTATTTATATTTATATCGATGTTTATCTGCAACTATACTTCAACTTCAAGCGTGGTGGTGTCATCATTGCCATTTACTTTTCTTACCATCATATCAATATACCACGGTAAAATTTCTGAGGTGTTTCGAGTGCAGAAGAACATAAAATTATACAAACTTACACGGGATTCTAAAGAAAGTTCAGCTCCTTAATTGTTTTATGATATTTTGTCAGATATGCCACTTGTGTGCTACAATCTAAAATCAATTATGCAGCTTTGAGAGGGTTAATTTGTTCTATTTTATAGGCTACAGGAGTATGACATAGAGACTGCAATTGCCTCAATTGTCGAAGGCAATGCTTCCTTAAAGATTGACACGCAACATTTGAAGGTCAATCTTCGCATAGGTTCCTTGTACCAGTTCATTGGAGAACTGCTTATTGACCCCAGCAATCAGGTATGCATGTCTATGGTGATTTTCTTGTACAACTACATACAAATATTTGAGCAATCATTGAATTTATATCCTCCATTCTGGTGCCCTTTCTGTAAATCCCGATGACAATTTGATGTTTGGAATCCTTTGATCTCTCCATCTATAAGTTCAGTGGCTTATAGAGCAACAGGCTGCAGAGGATGATAAATAAGTGATGTTACATAGGAAAATTAGGAAATGGGTGTGGTATTTGTGTTTGGGACATTCTTCATCTGGAGATCAACCTCTCGCTTTATTTCCACGCTTCATTTCTGTGATCAAGCTAAGTTTTTTGAATGTACCATGTGATTTTTGCTCTTAATTAATTAAATTGACCCTGCATGTTTGATTGATTGTGCTTACATATGCAATATATCTTACACAGCGTGTCTTTTGGCTTAAGCGTAATCATGGCACACATAAAAAACCTCTCGAGGTTTTTTAAAATTTTTTCTGACCACTTCATGCATTTATTTACTGTGAGCTTTTATCATAAATGTCAGGCAATTTTGAGGGCACGAGTGGGTAGGAATGTAGATGGCATGGATCTTAATCTCTATCATCAGTCTCTGCAGCTCTTGAGAGACTTTCAAGCTGAGCAGATGAATAGCACGACATCTTAGGGTAATATCTATTTATAGAAAAGATACAAGGTTAATATCAACTGTCAATTCTATCTGAAGAGGAGAAAGATGAGAACAAAATATGGCTGTTTTCATTTTTCTTGCCTAATCGTACAGATGTTGGCTTCCTGTATCTATTTTGTGTGGAACTCAACTAGAAGCGAAGCAAAATATCTTTATGGAGAGGGAAATTGATTCCTCCACCAAGCTAGTTGTTACCTTTTGCTTGTTACCCATTCACTTGCATCTTTTCATTGATATATTCAATCAAATTTCTGCGATCTGCATTCTCTAGGTTTCTTTTGTATATTCTCATAACCGTTTTAGCCAAGAGCATTAATTATTGGGCGCATATTTTTAGGATGAGAACATGGTCTTACCAGAAGTCTAGTCCATGGTCAATACTGCTATACCAAGCATTACTTTAGAGTTGACCATCATGTTCAGGAACTGCAAGCATCACTGATAAGTTGTGAGCAGAAAAAGGTGTTGAGTTGGCAGTGAGGCTCAATCGCTGATCTTTGTTAATCACATCTCTTATTTGTTTGGAATGATTGATTGGCTAAGCATGCCAATTGTTTGTTTGAGTTTGATATCACTTGCGGCAATAGACTTAACAATTGCAGTTGGTTTGACGTTTGATAAATTCTCCTAGGTGGATTCCTATATCTTGCCATCAGGAGCTTTAAGATGTCTTCAACTTAAAACACTCCCCAAGTTTGTTTTCAATAGCTGTAAAAGTTGTGCATAAAACCCCACCCCCCCCCCCCCACATCACATCCTCTGGTGGTTGGGGAAGGGATGGATTGGGTGGTTTGGAGGAGAGAGTGTAAATGAGAGATCTCGAGTTCGAGCCCTCTCACTATTGAGTAGTTGTTTAGATGCGATCATATATTGGGATCTTATTGAACTTGTATGTTTGTTGAGCTGCCAAACCTTTTTGTCTAAGCAAAATCCAGCTGAAAGTTGGAGCATTGAGTGCATTAGCAAATCTTTAACCAAATGGAGCATGTAGATTAAATGGCTGTGGCCTTTTCCCCCTGTAGAACACGTGTGGCAGGTGGAACTGTCACGATAGTTCTTTCGATTTTGTGACTTCATATACTCGGGAGGAAAGAATCTCGACCTTCCTTGCTAGATATATATATATAAAAAAAAAAAAAAAAAAAAACAGACGTGTGTCTCTGTGGTAGAAATTGAACTGTATCATTGTTTCATGTAATCACTTCATCTAGTATTCTATTAGAATAAGACAACATCGTATATGGCCTGGTTTAATGTGAGTAATTTATTTTCCCTAGATATTTTCATGGGTTCGGTACTTGGATTTGCAATGTCAAGGAGGCACAAGGCGGGCATTCCAGTCCTAGACGGTAACATACTCCGAACCCCCAACACGTAATACACACAAACTTGGTGGCTCAGCCTCACCAAGAGGAAGGAAAGTTGGAACTTTACGAAAGTTGGTTTTTATACAAACAAACTGGACAGAGACCTTCCAACTATGTAAATCAATAATTAGCTAGCGAGTTCTACTCGCTGGTTGCTGGATGCCGACATGCGCTATATAATCCATTTCTTCCCAGCTGCTTTTCCATATCATGGCCACTTTCAAGTCAAACTATGCCTTTTGTTAGGCCTTGAGAATTCATGGTTTGACGATCCCCTTCTCCCTTCAAATTGTCATCAAACAGAGCACATGGGATAGAGTTGTTAACGTCCACATTACTTCAGTTAATCTCATCTTTCAGAGCAAATTATGCAATTTCAGCCGTACTGGAGGTTTTTATGTTCAATATATTCTAGAAACTCTAGCATCATTTTATCATGTTCTCATATGATGTCTGTCCTGCATTGACTTTGTCATACTCATTAACCTTTTGCTACGAGCTTCTAGCAGGAACCACCACAAACCAAAATGTTCCTATAATTTCAACCATTTTAAAATTAGCGCTTGATAAAATACTACAGAATGGTGATGCAACTTGTGAGACTGGGTATCACCCTCAAGTCTTTCTTTAATTACCTAAATAAATATAGAAGGAATACGGATATTAATATTTAATATTGAACGGTGACATATAAGATGTTACCAACTGCTCTTCCAATTGCCAAGCTGAGTCTGCAACATTTTGAACCACCAAGATACTTTATTTAAGTGCTTACCCCTAATATCCTATGCATTTGCATCATTATCCAAATCCATACCCATTAATTTATGCTTAATTGCTTGATTAAATTGTAATTAGCTTTTAACAGTGCTTGGTCGTTATTAATTTGACATCTTAAACTAGAAGGTTACTCCTACATTACCCTCCAGAAAAAGACTTAGTGAAAGAAGGCTTTTCCATAGGAAACGAAGAATGGTGATTAAGAAAATCATTGTTAAATTTCTAAAATGGCCAGCTTTTGATTGGATTTTGGCTGTTAAACTAGGGGTCGTTTTGTACTTCTATCATACCCGATGGCACGTCTGCATTAAAGCAATACATGACTCTATATATTACGCTGTAACGAGGAAGAGACTAGAATGGAGTGTAAGCCATCTCAAGGGTCTCCTGCTCCCTTACATATCAATCTGACTAGCCGAATTTTCCCCGGAGCTGGACGGAAAATGGGTTCTTTCTGTGGATTTCTGGAGTTTCAGAATTTCTTTCTTGGTTAAGTTAAAGAGCCGGCCGCAAGTAACAAGTGGTGCGTATCATCTGTCCTCTCATATATTCTTTGACTTCTAAGATGTTATGCATAACTTTCCCTATGTGGTTGATGAATATTCATTATTGTTTAGAATTGGATTGAGTGGTTTTTCGCTGTGAATGAAAAGCTAGACGATGAATTCATTTGTTGAGAAATCTTGGAGAAGAAGAGGGTAGAAGGTTGATTGGAAAATTACGAGTTCTTGCTTTGTTTTGAGAGTTCTGAAATTGAAGCTATCATTCTTTATAAAAGCCGAAAACAACCAAGTCTCTATAAAGTGTAAATTGGCACCTAGCATATTGCTTTCTTCAAACATGGAGGTATTGGTAACATGAGTGGATGGTAGAACTATGCCTGCACAGTTTCTTTGCCAACAAAATAAAGGAAAAACAAGCATGCTTTGAAACTATAGAATTCCAGAAATTCTCCATTAGAAACTTGCTGACAGCTCAGGAAAAGACAGATGAAGAATATTTCTCATGTCCTCGTGGGGTTTTAGCTTATAAAGGCATAAACTTAACATGATTACTGAAAATTGATCTTTTTACATATCAAGCCCTTTTTCCTATCAGAATGGATGTGCAAAGATTGAAAGAAAATGAAAGCATCCATCACTTTTGCCTAAATACAGTTCAAAGCACAGTCAACATGAATAGATGCAAATGGATCAAAGAAATGTTTAAGCTCTTCAGCTCTTCGTTTTTCATCAATAAAATTGAGAGATAAAATTATCCCCAATCGTCATTTATTTATTCACTTTGGATTAATAGAACATGTAGCTGTCCTTGCCAATTCAGAGAAAAAAGAATCACAGAGAGTTCTGAAATGAAGTTACAAAATTTTAGTGATTTCAACAAACTTTTAGATGATTTTTTCCAGTACAATAAGATCCATTTTCAAGTAAAGTGAATTTTGCTGTAACATCAGCTTGTGCAGGACAATCATTAGAGAAGATGGTGCAGTTTACCACTATCCTTTCAACTTTGGCAAAAAATATTTCTATTAGGAGTGGTAGAAAGAGTAGAGTTGGTGTTGGGAGGGAAGCCGCAGATACTTTGGCCAAGGAAGCAAGAAAAAATGAAATGATGTTGACTTCTTCTGGCATTGTCAATGCAAACAGGACCAGTAATATGGCTTCAGCTTATTCTAAGAAGGGGAAGAAAGGAATAAATCAGGATCGCTTTATTGTCTGGGAGGTATGTAGATTACAATCCACAATACACTATACTAATGAAACAATCTGTAGTTTTTAAGATTTTGTTTATTGATGAGATTGGGTTACCTTTTTTAGGAGTTTGGATGCCAAGAGGACATGATATTCTGTGGCATTTTTGACGGGCATGGTCCTTGGGGACATCTTGTGGCCAAGACAGTGAGGCAATTGATGCCATCCTTTTTGCTGTGCAATTGGCAAGAAACTCTTGCTCAATTTGTCGTGAAACCTGATAGTGATGAATTTGGATCATCAGATGGACGCCGCTGCCAGTTTGACATATGGAAGCAGTCTTACTTCAAGGCTTGCTCAGCAATTGATTATCAACTTGCTCAGCTTCCAGGGATTGATTCTTTTTATAGTGGTTCAACAGCTTTGACAATTGTCAGACAGGTTATCAAATTTATTGTTTTTGGATTTGTAAATCAATCAGAATATGGTGATGGTGACTTCAAATTTGTACATCCAATAGTGGATTTCTTATTTCTGAATCATTTCTTTTGATGAATTCCAGGGTAATCTCATTGTTGTTGCAAATGTTGGTGACTCTCGGGCTGTGTTGGCAACAACTTCTGATGATGGCAGCTTGGTTCCAATTCAGCTTACTGTTGACCTGAAGCCTAATTTACCTCGTGAGCTCTCTCTCGTACGCTCTCTTTCTTTCTCCATGAGTTTTCCCCATAGTTATGCAGGTGTTTCTTTCTCATGTTACAGAGGAAAGCGAGCGAATTACACAGTCAAATGGAAGGATATGTTCCTGTCATGATGAACCGGGGGTATACAGAGTTTGGATGCCAAATGGAAACACACTTGAAGGCCCTGGATTAGCAATATCAAGAGCCTTTGGTGACTACTACATCAAAGACTTTGGTCTAATTTCTGAACCAGAATTAACACAGAGAAGGATAACAGATAGAGATCAATTTGCCATTTTGGCAACAGATGGTGTATGCCCTTTTTGTTTCTTTACTCAGCATCATGTAAAAAGTAGAGACTTCTCTGAGGAGGAAAACTTTAGCTAGTAGGCTGGTTAAGGATATTTCTTTTTGCACTGCTCATACCACGAGGTTGGAACATAATCTAATGTACTCCATGTTCTCTTTTGGTAGGTGTGGGATGTCATCTCTAACCAAGAAGCTGTGGACATAGTATCTTCAACACCTGAAAGGGAAGAATCGGCTAAGAAGCTGGTAGAATCAGCAGTCTGTGCATGGAAACGCAAGAGACCAGGTATCGCAATGGATGACATATCAGCCATCTGCCTATTTTTTCACGACTCTTGTCCCTCACAAGAATTTGATCCTTTGAAGCTTAGTAAGAAACTTGCATGAAACACGAGGAGGAGGGATGCATTTGCTGCAGCCTCGCTTT